CACCCCCCTTCCAGGAAACTATAGATTAAGCAAGGCCGGGCATAAAAACTGCCCTTTAAGGTAAAAATGGAGACTCCTGGCCCCACAGGTAACAGTCAGCACATTCCACAGCCCTGAGAATAGCACCTACCAATAAGAAACTTCCAGGGCTGCATCTTATACATCCAATTGGTTTTAAAATTACGTTGGCGCGCGCGGGTTCCTTGAACCAACCAAAATGTATCTTTGGTATCTCCCCCCCCCTTTGTCTAAAACCTATAAAAGGCTCCACTCTCCCTTACTCTAGGCTCTCAGCACGGATCCGTTGAGTTGGTGAGGTCTGAGAGCCCGAGCTTAAGCCCGAATAAACCACAAACCTTTGCTTTTGCATTTTGGTGGTCTTTTTGGGGTCCAGTGGATGGGGTACAACACTCTTTTCTTTCTTTCTTTCTTTCTTTCTTTCTTTCTTTCTTTCTTTCTTTCTTTCTTTCTTCTTTCTTTCTTTTTTGGTCTTTTTTGAGACAGGGTCTTCCTGTATCCCCAGCTGTTCTGGAACTCGGTATTCAGACCAGGCTGGCCTTGAACTCACAGAGATCCACCTGCATCTGCCTCCCGAGTGCTGGGATTAAAGGTGTGTGCCACCACACGCGGCAGCTTCTTCTTTCTTATGCCACACAGTACAGGTAAGGTTCAGTCCCTCTCCCGCTGGGAAGCTGAGCTGGTGATAGGAATGCATCCTGGAATGGGCATGGAAAAGTTATCTCAAGTCCCACTGGCTGGACATTGTCACTACAGTACATTCTGGCAGCAACATCGGCTTTTAGGAAACATAGCTTCTAACTCTTGCTCTGTGACTGTAAGCAAATCATCTAACTCCTTTGGCAGTAAGTAGTTTATTCATCTGGGAAATAAGAGTTAAGGGACTAAAATAAGTCCAAAGTGTCTACACCATGCTTCTGGGGCCGTGATGAATAAAATAGGAGCCCCACTCTTAAAGAGTTTATAGCCTAATGTAAAGACAGATTAGCAAAATGCTGCAATCCAGATCCCAGTGACAGGAGCCACTGTTAGAGGCAAGGTGTCCAAACACCACCTGGTGGAAGTGGAGGAGTAGCAGTGGGACTTCTAGGTGTGGAGATGGTAGAGTGGAGGGTTGGAGGCCCGGGCCCTACGCCAGTGGGAAGTGTGTTTGCTAGGCAAGGAACTCTTCCCATATGAGTCCAAACAAATGCTCTGGAATGCATTTCCTTCCTTATTTGGAATCTACAGGAAGTAAGAAGAGAAAAGAAATAATAGGGACATGAATGAATAACAATGAAGTCAGGAGATCAGAGATTCCAGGAGAGGTTCCTGAAGCCTCCAAACAAAGGATCCAAATATTAGGGGCTCAACAACTCTCACCGTAAGATTCTTGCCAATGCAGCTGTGGCCAGGTGAGCCCTAAAGAGGTCTCTTAAGGACAAACAAGCCCCTGGGAATACACAGACTAGTACATGTGGATTTCTACCTGTCCAAAGGAGCTCCAGGAAGAGCAAAGCTGAGTTGCAGTCTGAAGAAAGGAAAAGAATAGGTGAGCTGTAGAGAGTGGGAAGGAAGAAGACATGAAGATTGACTTCATCAGTGGAGAAGACAGGCTTGGTGGCCACCAGGCAGTTCTCTTAGGGAAGCTTTGTGGTGGAATACCAAGGGACCTCACCTGAATCACTGACACCAAGAGGCAAGGGACTCTATGCATAAGACTCCTCCACAGGCTACATGTTATTGTATTGTTTCCAGTGTCTGAGCAAAACCTGCATGGATGCCCCTGGAGAGACTAATCATATGGGGAGACTGATCAATCACAGATGTGTGGGAACTGCCAAAGCAGGCTGTGTGACATTGGTGTAGCTCACGTCATTGCCTCCTGCCACAGTGACCCAGGAGGACTACAGCACAGTGACAGTAACTGCTGCCAGGCCATGGTGGAAGCTCACCCATAGATGAAGCATTAACTATGGTTTTGTCCTCCCAGCCATCTCCCCTTCTTCAGAAGACAAAGTGCACTTAAAGGGAAATGATTTTATTAATGCATCAACATGTGCGTGTCTGTGTGTGCATGCGTGCAGGCCAGAGGACACCCTCAGTGTCCTCTTCAGCAACACTGCCTCTTTTGAGATAGGGTCTCTCATTGCCTAGAGATTCACCAATTAGGCTAGACTGGCTGGCTAGCAAGCTCAAGGGATCCTCCTGCCTCCACCCCCGCCCCCCAAGTGGTGGGATTACAAGTGTACACCACCACCCCTGGCATTTTTGTGCGTTCTGAGCATTGAACTCAGGTCCTCATGCTTACGTGGCAAGCACTTTACCAACTGAGCCATTGCCCCAGCACAAAATGATTTTTTTACACACTTAATTTTAGCAAATTACTTCAGCTGATTTTAAAAAGTATAGTAGCATGCTTTTTACTGTAGTATTGACGTATGTGTGACAGGTTTCCATGGGTAGACTTGAGCAGTGGCATTATAAGAACTTTTATATTCCAGTTGTTTTTATACAATTTTTTTTTGCACACAAGTCAAATGTTTGCAGTTTCCTTGCATGCAGTCAGATTTGTCACAGGTTAGAGGAAAGAGTCAGGCAGGAATTTGGACGTCTTGAGTGTCTGCATAGGCAGGTACGAGGACACATCCTTGAGTCATGGTCTATGGGATGCCTCCAAGCTTTTGTGCTGCACCTCTTGACACTGAAGTATATGAATACATATTTTTAAAGTTTTCTTAGGGTGCAGCTTTCCCTGGCATCTAAAAGTAATACTTCCCTGCCCAGGTTTCCTGATATATTGTATCTATATATTGATATACTCTCTCTCTTTCTCTCTTTCCCTCTCTCTCCATATATATATATATCCATAAAAATTTAAAAATTACAATGAAATCACAAAATTACTATAATTAATTGAGGAAGCTTAGAGATTCCAGATGCATGTGTCTGAAAGAATCAGGGAAAGTTCAGAGAAGTTAGTGCTTGAGTTGAGACTTGAAGAATGAGTAAAAGGTTTTCTACAAAAATAGGAGGGCTGGCAAGATGGCTTAGCAGGAAAAAGCAATTGCTGCCAAGACTGCCAACTTGAGCTTGATCCCCAGTATCCACATGGGTGAAGGAAAGAACTGAGGCAGGAGAGGTGGCTCAGTAGTTAAGAGCACTGGCTGCTCTTGCAGAAGACCTGGATTTGATTCCCAGCACATACATGATGGGCTAACAGCCTTTCATAACTTCAGTTCCAGGGGGATCCAATGCTCTCTGACCTCTACAGGCACTACACAACACGGGTACACTTACATACATGCATGCAAAACACTCATATACAAGAAATAAAAATGATAAAAAACAATTTTTTTTTGTGATTTTGAGACAGGGTCTCCCTGTAACCCCTTTTTTAAAAAGGAGAGAATTGACCCTCTTAAGCTGTTGTCTGACCTCCACATGTGTACTGTAGCATGTGTGCCCATATATACACACATGTGTGTACATGCACACACACAAAGATAAGTAAATAAATGTGTTTAAAAAGAGGCCTTGGTGGTATCCATTTAAAAGATGGATATCATGTGGAATCAGTGAGGATTGACTGGAAAAGCAGACAAATGAATATCCAAAGACCATAACTCTCTGATGGTGCCAATGTGTAGACTGGGTGATAGTCTCCACAGGGCACTACAGCCTGGATACTTTGGTTTCTGACCTTCTAATTCTCTGACCCACCGACTTGCTGCTCTTACTGTCCCTCTCCTCTAACAACTTCACTGCTTCATGCATCTTATATTTATGACCCAATGCTATAATATATATCTCTCCCCCATCCCCAACCCTCTTAGCTTTACTCTGCCATTCCTTGAAAAACCTTGTCCTTGGTTAAGTCAGCTCTGCTAAACACCAGACAGACAGGCTGCCACCCACCCTGTGACTTGGTTTTCCTTTTAAACTTTTTTTTGGTATGCATGGTAAGAGTCACCACTGACAACACTGGACACAGAGACAGAAGCTGCCCCATAGATGTTAAGTGCCACTACCTTAGAAGATTGGGAGCTAGATGTCTGATGTAAACCTGCAATTTCAACTCTTCATTGATTCAGAAATGTTTTTTACTTATTTTGTTTCTGTTCTATGAATGGAAATTGTGTACAGTCAAATGTGTTCCATAGATCTAATCCCTATAACTATAGATATAGGTATTATTTCATTTTATAAATAAATTAAGGTACAGGTCACTGAATGGGTTGCTAAAGTTGACAAAGGCTGTAACAACTGGGTTCCAAACTTGGATCTCATAAGCTTGTAATATATATGAACCTGAAGAAATCCTAGCTGAGGTCCAGATTACCAGGTTCTGCCACACATTAGAGGCAAAGTGCCAGATAAACAAGATAATAGTATTTGTTCAAGTAAAAAAGAAAAAGAAACTGTGCTTTTTACCCTTTCATCAATGTCAAGACTAGTGGGTCATTTTTTTCCCTAAGAGAAAGCTTGCATGAAACCATCCCTTCCCTGAGCCCAAGATTCTCCCAATGACTCTCTCTGCCTTAGGGCCTGTCCTCACCTCCAGGCTGGATGTCCACAGTTGCCAATAGGATGCAGCAGCTTTGACCGAGCGCCATTAGGTTTTGTATGTTGTCATCAACCCCAGGAATTCCATTCAGATGCTGGCTTTGCTAGTGTCCATGGCCTCACAGTCCTGGACCCATTAGACAAAGTCTGACTCTAAGACTTTCCCCCTGTTCTGGGCACAAGTTTGGTTGGTGAAAGTGTGATGGAGATGGAGAGGGTCAGGGTCCAGCTGACTTGAAAACAAGATAAAAAAAAAATCAAGTGAGGTACGCTGGAGTGAAGAGTGGGGGAAGGAGAGATGGAAGACATCATTTTCAGACAACCCCACCTGGCCTAAAATGATGATAAAGTCTTCTCTCTGTTAATTTTTGACTTTATGATGTATTCTTCCATAAGAAAAATTTATATTTGTATGTACTGTTAAATACAATGTATCTTTTTATTTCAAATTGTATAGGTTTCCAGGATTATTTTAAGAAAGTTTCCTTCAGACCAGGCATGGTGGTGCACACCTTCAATCCCAGGGTTTGGGAGGCAGAGACAGGCAGATCTTTGTGATTTGCAGGTCACGGAATGCAGAGCTAAAGATCAAGAGAAATAGGAACTGAAGGAGAGGAAAAGAAAAAACATGAGAATCCAAGAAAATTCAATGAAAGGTTTAGCAGAAGGTTTCACTGACTTCAGCAAGCTCTTTAGAAGATATTTTGAAAGGCCCCAACACTGAGAGGTTTTCATTAATTGAGACTATTCTCAATATAGTGTCTGCTTACCAGCAAAGAAACCAAGCAAACTACCACACACATATTTCTGAAGAGTGGCAGAAAAGCCTCAGGCTTCCTACAGGAGGGATTGCACAGAAGGTAGTAGTATCTCTGGGCATGATGGCTCCATATGTGTTTGCTCTTAAAGACCTTCCAGTGGGACAAGATGTGGAGAAGTAAGACAGTAATATCGATGATTTTGACCTGTGTAGGCTGAGGCTAATTTGTGTACTTTCATTTTTAATGAAAATGCTTTTTAAAATTAGAAAAAGCTTATAGAATAAAAATGTATGGATAAGGAATGCATTTTTATTGTTTTTTCCTTCGATTTTATTTATTTATTCATTTTTGTCTTTTTGAGGCAGGGTCTCCCTGTAGCCCTAGCTGGCCTGGATTCGCTATGGA